ACCTTCAGGACCCCAGACCAACCCTCTGTTAGGAGATGTCAGGTTGATGCTGGGCTGCTGCAGTGGCACTGGGTACAAAAGGAGACAACGTAAAGACAATGTAGACTAGATGACTTTGAAGGTGGGTGTGGCTTGCTGCAGGAGAGAGAGGTGTGGGGAAGGCTGTGAGAGCAGCACCCGTTGAGGTGATGATCTCAGCTGCAACTCATTGTGTAATCACATTCTTCCCTTTATGTCGCAGTAGTGTGGTGGACCTAGGGCCGGAGAGTCCACTGAGCGCGAGACCCAGAGACAGAGACATACAGAATTGATTGCGTGTTGTCTGTTGTGACAGCGTCGTGTTAAATAAAAGTTACGTGGTACAAAGAACCAGTGTGAGAGTTTGTGTGCTGCAAGTATCCACGGTAGCTAGAGACCTGCTACAATGACATTAAAGTGGATTCTGAATACAAACATAAAATAGCCATCACTGTGCTCGAAGAATGTCAAAACGGGTTAAATCTTGGAACTGTGGTTTGTTTCCTACAGAGTGCAGCAAAATGCTTAGCTAAAACAGTATATCTCCAATTCATGTCTTTACTGAAGCTGTGAAGCTTTGTTAGTTTAAAAAAAAGATTAAAAAGACTTTGTCAAGTTGGTGTTTTTTTAACGGCCAATGAAATATATCTATGATAAATTTAAAAAAAATGTTTTTACCTAAATTTGCTGAGGTATCTTTTGTCTACATTATTTGACAGAACCATGGGTTTGTTTTGGTCTGTAATATTGAGTGTAACAGCATGTAAGCACCCCAGTGTTTTTGTTGGTGGGAGGAAAGCACATTCCCTTGGACTGGTTGTTGGTGAAGTGGTCCTCCTTTTGTTACAGTGTAGATGTGTCCGAAGGGCCTCCGCCTTGTAGCTTCTTGGTGATAAAATTGCTAGAGGAAGGACCAAGATGGGACTAAGCAGGCACTATCTTAAATGGGATGACTCATGAAGGCACCATATGCTGCCCCTGAAGACCCTGGGAGGAGGAAGTGCTGCAGCATCTCCACTCTCATCTGTGAGATGGGTAGCTCCTGCACCAAGGTTCTAATACACTGCATAATTTCCAAGAGCAATTTCTCATTTGGAGCTCAAAGGTCCTCTCCAGTTCTGGAAAGTATTTCTTAATTGAAAGAAGAGCAAAGAATGGCGCTGAAGGTTTTCTCGATGGAAACCATGTTTTTGCTCTTCCCCGACTGGCTTGGTTAAGAGTTTGACAGTGAATAATGGCTTGGTATGGTTGATCTGATTGGTTGAATTTCAACAATGATAGAAAGTGACATACAGATGTTTCAACCAATCATCTCCAAAGTGCTTTTTTAAAGTCCCTGTCCCTTTCCAAACAGTTTCCAGTGACGACTTCCCGAATAGTTCTGCGTAACAAAGCAAAGGCCAGACAGTAGTAACGTTTTTTCGCACACTCTCTTTGTCCCCTCCCCCTCCACACCTAAATAGTTACACAAAGTTTAAGTTTTTGCAATGCTTTTTTGAGGGCCTTGGAATGCTTGAATATTCATAAAAATATGCATACATGTTAGAACTGGTAAACATTTCATTACCAAGTTCTCCAGTGAGTGGGCTGGGGTCTTGTCAGTGGGCCACAGAAATCTGGTGGGATTATTGCTCTCATCATTGTGAATGTATATCAATTTATTTTGCAAGAGTTTGGATTGGAAGTCAGCCATGTAGTAATATCCATTTTCTAAACATATGTATGTCTCAATTGGACTTGGACAATTGAATGGTGTGTCCATGGCTTCAAATTTCCATATTTCATCAACAAGAAGAAGTTGTTGTAATTTGAGTGTACATTGTCCAATCTGCCCCAAATTTCACATGGGTGATAAGAGTCTCAGCCTGAACACATGCAAATGCCAATATTCAGTCATAGTCATACCGCCCCCTTACTGACAACAGGAAGTTAGCCTTGTGTTACAATAATTTTTTTAATTTACATGAACTTTGCAAAGTGTGGTCTACACTTGATATACTGGACTATACACATATCGGACACAGGAAGTGACATTTAACTCTTTGCGGTGTCCGAAACATATGAAAAGTCAGACCCATATCGACTGACCTTCAGCAAAATATGCAGCACACCCCAGTTTTATTTTTCTGTGGGACTTTTTCAGTGCCAATGTTTGCATTTTCAATTCCAATGTTTCCCTTTTCAGTCCAGTTTTCAATGCCAACATTTAAAGTCATTGTTCTAGCACCATATCAACACACCTGACGAATGGGGCAAGAGTACTGACAGATTATTTCAAGTTAGATTATTCTGTTAAGCAAATCACAGCATGGACACTGTTTTCCTTCCTCATAGTTGAGAAGAGATATTCCTTGATTTAAACTTTTGTTGTTTTCTTACCAGTAACAAAAAACACCATTCTCCACACAATCATTTTGTAATTTCTACTAAATCTAATAGTAAAGAAAATGAATATTGGGGAATGTATTTCCTTACCAGAAACAGAGAGTCTGACAGAGTCACTTAAGGGGGAGCTGAAGTCTCGACTTGAAATCTGTGTCTGATACTGACACTGGTACGATCCCTCGTTATCAAAGTTCACTTTGAG